TGTCATCATATTTTGGTGGAGATGATGATGACGATAGTGATGAAGATGATAAAGATAAAGATGATGATGATGATGACGATGATGATGATGATGACAAAGGCAAAAAATTCTGTTCATTCGTCGATATATTTTGGTGGATGTTGTTGTTGTTGTTGTTGTCTGTGTGAGCTCTGTTGATGTTGTTGATGTTGTTGATGTCATCTTTAATGTCGTTCAAAAAAGCTGATGATGAAAGTGATGACGATGATGCTGTTGGTGATGGGGGTGGTGGTGGAAGTAATAATGGTGGCGATGATGATGATGTGGAAAAGTTAATGTCATCATGTTTGATCCTATGATAAATTTCTGTGTAATGCATCGGTTGATATTGATGTTGTTGTTGATGTTGTTGTTGATGTTTTTGTTGATGTTGTTGATGTTGTTGTTGTTGATGTTGATGTTGTTTATAGTGAGGTTGCTTATTACGATAGTTATAATCTCTCCTATAGAGATGTTGTTGACGTAAATATCTATGCTGTTGTTGTTGCTGCTGTTGTTGTTGTTGCTGTTGTTGCTGTTGCTGTTGTTGTTGTTGTTGTTGTAGTTGTAGCTGTTGATGCAGTTGTTGTTGTTGTAGTTGTTTCAAGCGTTCGACGTCGTAACCGGTCAACTCTGAAGAGTTGTAGCGCACAGTGAAGCGGTTCGACTGCAGGAAGGGTTTCTCGATGATCTCGTTGAGGTTCATCTTCACAGCATCTTCCTTCTGCACCTTTTTCCAGAGGACGGGGTGGGTGAAGTAGTGGAAGTCCCTCATGACGAAACTGCATTGCAACCGGATGACCTGGCCGAGGTCCACATGGTGCGTCTGGTTCCTCGTTAGGAAGGTCAGGGGCTCGAGGGCTGGCAGAGGGGGGAGGGGTTGATTGTTCATTGGTTGGAATGTCAAAATTTTGCAATATGAGTATTTCATGTTTAGCTTTAAGAATATTTTTGCGTAATTCCAGTTATATTTATGCTTATAATCAACATTTTACTTGCTTACCCTCCTGAGTGAATTTCTTTTTTGTTTATTTTGAGTCGTTGGTTTTTTAACACTGAAAATTTCAATTCTAAAAATAGACAAAAATTAAATTAAATGGATTCTAAATAAATATCTCAATAAACTAAGAGATAAGCCAAACGGGCGAGTTAATGCGATGGATGAACGCTTTATCATTTGATTGCTCGCAATTTTTCAATTCACATTTAATCAGTCTCGTTCATTTTCTGATATTTTTATTATATAAAAAACATCTTTATTAAAACAACAGTATGAATATCATTGGATTACAACAACAACAACAGCAACATTAACAACAACAGCAGCAGCAACAACAACAACAACAAAATAATAATAATAATTATAAAACCGCTTATAATATCACTGTTGTTATTATTCGTATTATTATTACTGATGTTGTTGCTGCTGCTGCTAAAATAAAAGGTATGAAAGCTCAAATAAATTAGTTCCTTTCATCGTCACTTTCGAATTTGCGATTATCAGCTCTTTAAAAGCCACAATATAACAGCAACATATCGGCAACATGCCAGCAGCATAGAGCAGACCAGTGACAGGCCAGCAACATAGAACAGACAAGCGACAGTCTAGCAATAGACCAGCAACATAAAATAGACAAGCAACAGACCAGCAACAGGTCAGCAACATAGGGCATGCTAGCAACATACAACATGCTATCAACTTTCAACAAAGCAGGAAGACAACCCACACAACACGTGATCACTTTCACACGATGTAAATAATTTTCTTGTAACTAACACAGGTGTTCTCTATTTAGAGTGCACGCTAGTTTTTGTGTTTTAGTTCTTCGCGCTTTTGAATCTGGCCGTTGGATAACAGTTGACATCTACTTTACTGTTTGAGCTACTTTGTGACCCAGGGATTAAACTTATATAAATGGATAAAATTAAAGAAATAAGAAAAATTTGAAATGAGAATACTTGATGGCAAATGTGTGATGAGAATGATTAACATGGTAATGTGGGTGATGAAATTAATTCAAGTTGTTGTGGAACAATAAAAGGACTTTGATAATGACGAAACAGCCTGAACACGACCACCAAACAAAACAAACGATCATACAACTTCTTCTGGATGTTCAATGTTCCTCTCCTACACACACACACACACACACACACACACACACACACACACACAAAAACGCTACAAATCAAACAACGTCAGACTTCAGGCTCTTTAAAATTACAGCATATTTAATATAAATAATATACGATTAGTTATATGTTAGTCTCCTTCCTGCATATAATTAAGACATATATATATATATATACATATATATATATATATATATATTTATATATATATTAATATAAATATAATTTATTTAATATCAAATATAATTTATTATTAAATGTAATTATTGACTTGAATGGTACAAATAAATAATATGCGGGTGTGACTGATGGGCTGGGGAGGGTGATGGAGGATGGCGCTGAGACGATTTTTGGAAGAGGCAAGTGCGATGTGGGATAATTGCATTGAAAATAAAAATGTGTTTGTGGTAGTAGTAGTAGTAGTAGTAGTAGTAGTAGTAGTAGTAGTAGTAGTAGTAGTAAAAGGTATACGTGGAAAGAAAAAAAAAGATGATGATGATGATGATGTTGATGAGATGATGATGATGATGATGTTGATGAGATGATGATGTTGATGATGGTGATGATGATTGGCAATGGTGATAAAAAGATTTCTATATTTTGATGATATTTTCGATGAAAAAATGATAAAAAAGTTGGCGGGCGACAATTTCAAGATGGCGATTGTGCTGCTGATGTTGTTTTGTTGATGATGACGTTGATGATGATAGTGATGTTGTTGTTGTTGATGATGATGATGTTGCTGATGTGTTGATGGTGGTGATGATGTTGATAGTGTTGTTGCTGATGTTGTTTTCTTGATGATGACGTTGATGATGATGTTGTTGTTGATGATGATGTTGATGGTGTTGTTGCTGATGTTGTTGATAATGATGATGATGTTGATGATGATTTTGTTGATGTTGTTGATGCTGTTGTTGATGATGATGTCCTTGTTTTTTTCTAATGCTAATGATGATGACGATGATGATGACGATGATGATAACAACGCCATAAATTTTAACTTGTTTGCAGAAGTTCTCCACTTTGATGCCGACTTGAAAAATTTGAAAAAAATTCCAGCCTCAAGTAAATTTTCGTCATACATTGAGTTTCGATGCCCTTGTTTGCTATCGTCGTTGTGTTGATGTTGCTGTGTTGTTGAGTTGATGTAGATGTTGTTGTGCTGATGTTGTTGTGCTAATGTTGTTGTTATTTTATTGCTGTGTTGATATGTTTTTGTTGTTGTTGTTGTGTTGATGTTGTTGTGCTGATGTGTTGTTATGTTGATGTTGATGTATTATGTTTGTATGTTTTTTTCCGTTTGTAGTTTAAGGTGTTTGTATATGGTGTCTTTTATTTTCGCGTGGTTTGTATATTTGTTTTTTTGTCTTTTTGCTCACCGCTGTCGTTCGATTTTAATTTGAATATGTTATTATTATTATTATTATTGCGATGTACATTCAAGTTTTATACAGACTTAAAATAGCAATGACATTTTATGACTTTAAATAAAAATGTGTCAAAAAAAACCATCCATCACAACAATCAAAACATTTCTCCAGTTTTCATTTAATTGATTGAATTTTATTTAATTAATTAATTAATTAAGTCAATTAGACTACACAAGTTCTCTAGTGGGTGTTTGACCTTTCTGAACCTAGCACTTTATATTTGAACTACCAGCAGTTACAAAATTACAGATCAAACTAATTGAAACATTTTTTTCCGATTTAATTTCTAAAATTCTTTTCAAAAAACAAACAGAAAATGAAGATAAAAATGCTGATGATGTTAAAAAAACAAGCAACAAAATAAATTCCTGCAAGATGGTAGCGATGACGATGATGAAGCGAATCATCCTGCAACTAAAGTAAATTTTGCTAACCTCGATGAAAACAACGACTCTGTCTATGGCTATAATGATGATGAAGGTGATGAATATGGTGAAGATGATGGCAGATTTGATGAAAAGAATATCAGTGCTTATGTTCTTGAAAGTCAGTCTGCTCTTGTTCCGTTGCTAATTTTTAACATTTGATTAATTCAGTAATGTAAATATTTTTATTTCGGCTAAATGCGACTTTTTGGTGTGTCATTTGAATCTAGTTGTATCTGTGTATCTAGTTGTATTTAGTTGTATCTGTGTATGTAGTTGTATCTGTGTATCTAGTTGTATCTGTGTATCTAGTTGTATCTGTGTATCTAGTTGTATCTAGTTGTATCTGTGTATCTAGTTGTATTTGTGTATTTAGTTGTATCTGTGTATCTAGTTGTATCTGTGTATCTAGTTGTATCTAGTTGTATCTGTGTATCTAGTTGTATCTGTGTATCTAGTTGTATCTGTGTATCTAGTTGTATCTAGTTGTATCTGTGTATCTAGTTGTATCTAGTTGTATCTGTGTATCTGTGTATCTAGTTGTATCAGGGTGGCCCTGTCTTCTCAGCATGTCCATCTCGACCAATCCATTTTTTTTAACTTTTAGTAACTTCAAAATTTTATTATATTACAACAAAAAATTATGAAAATAATGTATTCACTTGGCGGGAGTATTTTAAAGTTAATAATGCTATTCGACTAGTCGCGACTTGGAAAGTTTCTTGTCGCGACTAGATGGCTTGTCTGGTTTGGGCTTAAAAACACCATACAGACAAACGCTCTTTATTTAAACAATTGGGAACATCCTTTTATTTTCTAACTCCAAATACCAAATATTAATAATGAAATAGTTATAAAATCCAATTTAATCTAAAATAATAATAATATTAATAGCAATAATAATATTATAATACTAATACTAATAATTATAATTTCGATATTGATGTAAATAAGACTAGTTATCAGTGTGATGTACGTATTTATTTGCATGCTTTCGATCTAACGTGGCATATTCAATTTACGATTAATTAATTAATTAATTAGATAACTCTATGATTGATTAATTAGTTAATTAAAAAATTAATTGATCGATAAATTATTTCTTTAATTAATTAAGGTTTATTTAGTTGATAATTAGCATGAAAAATTAATTTCAGACAAAAACTTTCCTTCGGTGCTCAATGAAATGTCATCATCCACCAGCAAATTTGTTACATCATTCATCCGTTCATTAATTCGATTGTTCAATCATTCTTTCACTCATTTTTTTTCTTAATTTCTTCATTCGATCACTTTTTTACGCCCTTTAATAGTTTATTTTTTTGTTATTTTTACATTCATTCATTCATTCATTCATTCATTCATTCATTCATTCATTCATTCATTCATCCGTCCGTCCGTCCGTCCGTCCGTCCATCCATCCATCCATCCATCCGTCCGTCCGTCCGTCCGTCCATCCATCCATCCATCCATCCATCCATCCATCCATTCATTCGTTCATTCATTCATTCATTTACCCATCCATTCACGAAATAATCCACTTATGCGAGCGTCAAAGAAACATTTTCAATGAAATCTGCAATCTGACAGGCAAACAATGGAGAACATTAAAAAACAGCAAACAATATATAATCCACAAACATACAAAACCACGTATTAACGATGTACAAATGATGTAAATTAACATAGAAACAACATGCAAACAACACACAAACAACATGCGAACAACACACAAACAACATGCAAACTACTCACAAACAATACAAAAACAACATGCAAACAACATACAAACAACATGCAAACAACATACCAATACAACATACGAACAACCAACAAGCAACATACAAATAAATAAACTACATACAAAAAACATACAAACAACATATAAAACGTACAAGCAACATGAAAAATAACATATAAGATATAACATACAACAAGATACCAACAACATTATACAACATGATAACTGCTTAAAAACAAGTTTTGTTAAAATATTCAAATGTTGAGCATGTAAATACTTTGCAAGTACTTAGATAGGACAAAAGCAAATTCAATACTTAATATAAATAGTATTTAAATACCAAGTAATGCTGCTAACATTAAAATACTGTTTTTAGGTAATCAAAAAAATTTTTAAACACCATGCAACACCAATTTTTAAACACCAAACATCATTTGGTGCAATTTAAACGGTTGATGAAAGCATCTACGTGTTCAGTAAGTTAGTTATACATAACAACATTTTTCATTTCATTATTTTATATACACACACATTACCTAGCAGTAAGTTTCATAAACGCTTTCATTACTAACAAAACAGACATTGATACTAGAATTCACCGACTCGTTTGTTAATTTTAAGAAAAAGTAATGTCCCAAACAGGTAGGTCATCAGGCTAACTATGCAGTGTTTGGTTGAAAACATCTACGTATAAAGAATAACATGCATAGGCAAGCAACAAAAAATACGACTAAGCGCCGATTATACAAGAGATCCTTATAAAGTCAGAACAATAATTTGGGGTTGCATAGATAAATAAGCGTTTAAAATTTGACGTGGTAAAACGTAATAAACTGTGGTGTTTTTGCTACGTATTAAAATAACAAATTTATAAAACTTAAATTCTGAAATCAATTTAACTTCAATTACAATGCATATAAAAAACAAAAAAAAAATAATAATATATTTTAATAAAAAGAAAAAAACTTGTATCACTTTAAAAATGTCAACATCAAGCGATTGAATAAAAAATTGTTTTGTCCAAGTTTCCGAAATAAGCATGTATGGAACTCCTTTACATGGCATGCGTAACGATGATTAAGAGTTTCCTTCCTACGCATGTTGTCAAAATAATTTAAAAAATAATTTGTTAGTTACTAATTACCCGCCAAAAATAACTAAATACTGCTCACATATTATACTTTAGTTAAGTATTTGAATTACTTTTAAAAGACTGGGGTAAGGTTTTTGATTACTATTCAAGCATTCGAATGTTAAAAACAAACAACACTGCAAACATCATACAATCAACGTTTAAACAACATACAAAAACATATAAAAAAATACAGAGGCTGACATTCCGGAAAAAAAAACACACAAACAAACAGAAACAAAGATACGAACACTTTGCTTCGTAAACTGCACAATTGTATATCTTTAACCACCGACATGAAATGAAACAAAACTATTTTTAGCAGCGTAAACATCAAACATGCACATTATAAACATCAAGAACAACATCGTCAAACAACACTAACAACATCGTCAAACCACAACAACATCGTCAAACAACATCAACAACATCGTCACACAACAACAACATCGTCAAACAACAACACCATGTCACACGTTTGTAAGCAGAGAACAATTACTTCTGAGAACAAAGATGCATAGTGCATACACTAACTAACACAAATCTGCACTTCGTTGCTCACAATTCTAAAAAAAAAGGAATGAAAAAATTAACTAAAATGAGCATGAGTATTTGGGAGAACAATTGAACGAACAAAAAAAAGTAAACAAACTTCAGAACGAACGTTTGAATGAACATTTAAATGAAATGAACGTTTGTATGAACATTCAAATAAGCGTTTGAATGAACATTTAAATGTACGATTGTATGATCATAACGCATGAATAATGAACAAATTTTCAAAAGCGCATATTTTTTCAGCCACTGAGCAACAAAATGTGAAATAAACTGAAAATTGAATAAAAAAAACTAAATAAAGAGCCCAAAAACAAATGAAAACTTGATTAATTAAATGAAAAAATAAATTGAAATGTGATGATATAAAATTGCTGATAATGATGATGAAGATGAAAATGATGACGATGATGATGAACTGAAGATGTTGACGACAACAATGATGATGATGATGATGATGATGATGATGATGAAAAAGAAGAAGAGGATAGTTAAGAAGAAGATAATGATGAGAATGGACGAAGATGAAGATGGTGGCGATGATGATAACGATGATGATAATGATAATGATGGCAAGGACGATGACGTGATAAAGAAGAAGATGACGGTGGAGATGAAAAAGATGATGAAGATGACGAAGATGAAGAGGAAGATGATGGTGAAGATGATGCTGATGATAACGACGCTTAACGTGCACATGAAATAAATAAGTCGTGACTCGCCGATAAGAACAATGCAGAACGGTTAAATGAAATATTTATGGTGATAGAGTCGCTGATATGACGAAGATGGTGAAGAAGAAGAAGAAGATGACGATGATGAAGAAGACGATGATGAGCATGATGAGGATGATGAAGATGATGACGAATATGTTGACGACGACGACAATGGTGGTGGTGATAAAAGTGATGATGATGTAAGGTAGATGTATGTATTATTGAGAATGCAACCAATTTTCTGATGAGGATGTATGAGGATGACGATGACGAACGAATGATGACAGGCTATAGAGAAGTCCATCCATCTCAAAAGATCATCCTGCTAAACAAGAATAGAAAACTTTAATTACGAATCATTTCTGGCTTTGTTTAATAAAGTTGTTTGCAAACAACCAACAAAAAAATAATCTTAATAGAAAAAATAGATGACCTAAAAATAAAAATGCAGTAATTGCAGTGATAATGTAGCTAATTGTATTGTTGTATTAACCTGTATTAATATAAATAATGTTAATGTATTAATAATTATATTTGTGATATTTATTTCAATTTTTTTATAGAATAAAATGTTTAATAATATTGAATGTTTTGGTGAAAGGTACAAAGATATAAAATGGAGGTGATGATGTTGTTAAGCGTCGCCACGACAATCAGTTTATCAATTTCTATGGCCTCATCTTCCAACCGTGCCAACACAGAGTAATCACGTTTCTGACAATTCGATTCTATTCTAAAAATATTTTACGAATTCATATGTTTGCTTGTGTGTTTAGTTTTTTCTCTTTCTCTTTCTTTTTTTCCCTCTCTCTCTCTCTCTCTCTCTCTTTCTCTCTCTGTGTCTCTCTCTCCCTATTTCTGTATGTTTGTGTGTTTGTTAGACTTTTAGTGTGTGCGTTTGTGTGAATACATAAAGATTGATGCGCATCTAAGTTTGTCTTCTAGTTTGAATGAATGCCGTTGTTTGGAGTTTTCAATTATGTTCATTCAACGAGAGGTTTATTAATTGGCGGTATTGGTTGTTGATGGGTGACGAGGTCTGCGGATTTGAGGTGTAATTGTTAGTGGAGTGTGGTGTGGTTTGGTTGGTTGTTGTCAGGGTCTTTCAAAGTATGTAGAAGTAATATTTTTGTAAAAAAAAATAGACTAATTAAATAAAAGTGATAAAATTGTGGGCGGTTGAGAGTGGATGTTGCGGACAAATTACGAAGAAAAATTAACAGTAATACAGAACACAGGAATAACCTGACGATAATATTTATTATAAACATTTAAAATAACGAGTTGTTAAAAACATTTTCAATAAAATATTTAAAAACAATAACACAAAAATATACAAACCAACAAAACACACACCCACTCACACAAACACGCACACAGACAAACACACACATACACATACAAGCAAGCAAAGAGTCTCACACGTGCACACTTCAGTAAGCCGCCGACAAATACTCGACATTTCTAAAAATATCCTCTGGGATTTCCATGACAAGTTCTTTGGGAATTCCTTTGATTTCAATTCCAACAATTAAAATATAAGTGAAACACCTGGTCCCTTATCTTCGTATATGCACATACAAATGTATTTATAAAATATATACAGATGTGTATATATATACAAGTGTATATATATATATATATATATATGTATGTGTGTGTGTGCGTTTGTGTGTGTGTATGTGTGTGCGTGTATGTGTGAGCGTGTATTCTATGCGTATTTTAATTATAACAGCCCCTCTACGGGCGATATACACACATTTTATGCATATAAGTAGTGCATATGTAAATGTACATATATGTACAATATATACAAATACATATATACATATAACCCTGAAAATAATTTTAATTTTTCTAAACATTGTAACATAAAAAGAAATTTTCAAATCTCAAATGTATTCATTATCACATGCACACACACACACACATACACACAAGCGCACACACACACACACACGGCACGAAGATGAGAGTCGCAGGCAAACACAGAAGCAGCCATGCGCACACTCACAATATGCATAACAACACGCATACAGTCATACATACACACAGACACACGTACATACAAATCCATACACAGACACACACGTACATACAAACACACAGATTTCTGCGAAGACAGATGCCTGCGCATGAATTGATCGAATCACATGTGCCCGATGCAATGTTGCATCAATCAGGACAACATTCAAACAATGTCCTCAATATTTCCATTTGGAAAGCAACGCGCGCGCACACACACACGCACACAAATTAACATAAACAATAAAATTTAAATGTAAACATTATAATTCACGCATAGACAATAATAAGCATTTGTGTAAACTCGTTAATGAAGGCATAAACTTGCAAAGATGTAAAAACAAATATAAAATAGAAAAGCCCTTTGAGGCACACGTTCAGGCAAATAATTTGAGCTAGTGGACACGTAAACATGTAAAGACACAAAACACTCGCACATAACTACACGCTCACGTGCACAAACTCACATATAGTAAGAGCAATTTTCTTACGGTCAATGCCTAATGTGGTAGAGCCAGAACGATACAGGCGGATGTTCTAGTTGTCAGTATGTGCAACATATGGGCCGATACCCTCTGAATCGTAAACATACAAAAAGGTCACAACAATATATTATACGAGCGCCTTGAAAAAAAGCTACTGCTTACCGCACGCTGTCTGAAGGTGTTGTCCACGTTATCGTCTGTTGGAGCGCTGGCCACAGAGGTTGAGGCTTGTTAAAAAAAACGACAAGCAAGACAAATTGATAGAAAATGATGAGGAACTTTGCAACGGGGCATGTAGACACTGCTTTATGCCATAGGAAGATGACTAGATGAACTAAAAATGAACGTCGCTCTCGGGACATGACTGCTTTTGGTTCCTCAGAGTGCCTGTCCCGTCAAGAAGTTAGTTTGTAGACAAAATATGTCTTTTTAGTATCCTTGCTACAAATTGCTTCTAAATACTCTTGAAGCAGTTTTCAAACAGAGACCGGTCAAACGATTTAGTAAAAGCCTTGTTCTCGTCGAAGAGTGCGTTTGAGGTTTTCAGGAATTCACTCAACATGAAAACATTGCAAGGAAAGGATAGAAGGCCGAATAATAAAAAAAATAGACAGATGCAGTGCAGCGATTCCAAATAAATAAAAAAAGAGCGTTGTTGTAATGCCTGACAAAAAGTTTCAGCCAAATATGAGCTTAGAAAAGGGACAATAAATACAAACACACTCAAATAAACTTCAAGCTCTATAAACACATAACAACGCACCGTTGTGCACAAAAAAATCGTACGAGGGCGTACAGCAAGGCGACCCTTTGGGACCGATGCTTTTTGCTCTAACCCTTCACCCACTGTTGACGAAGTCATCTTCAGCGTTTGTTTGTGGCTACCTGGACGATGTCAGCTTGGCCGCAGAGGGCAACATCTTAGCGGACGACTTCCTGTTGCTGAGGGTCGGCGCTTCCATCCTTGGTCTCGAATTAAACACAAACAAGTGTGAACTACTCGTAAATGACACGTTTCAAATGCCACACGTGCTGGTTAATGTCCCCACAGTGCCCCATTCATCATTAAATTTTTTAGGCACTCGATCAGGACAGGTTTTTTAATAAAAATCTTTTTGAGCTAAGGTTTGCCCTCGAACGTGTCTCTCTTCTCCCGGTCCACGACGCGCTGACAATCATCCGCGGCGCCCTCAGTTTGCCGAAATTGATGTAATTCTTGCGCACATTCAACTCTGTTAATGCGGCCATTTTGGGCAAATTTGAGGGTGCTCTGCGGGTGGCCCTTTCAGTCATTTGTAACGTCGATATTACCGACAAGGGTTGGTCTCAGGCTCAGCTGCCGGTAAGATTTGGGGGACTGGTTACTAAGCGTGGTTCAGCTTGCACCAATTGTTTATAAATCTTCTGCATCTGCCACGCTTGACCTACAGTCTGCCCTTCTTCGGCAATTTAGTAGCCTACACTGTACTCCACCGACTTCATTCCAAACAACAGACCTTTCCCAGGGCAACAATTTGGAAGAAGCATATAAACGCACATTCAAAGAGTTGCTTTCCTCAAGCCCTGACTCAGCAACCTCAGCTCGCTTGCTGGCAGTATCCAGCGAGGCGAATTGTGGCTGGCTGAGATCTTTGTCCAATACGTCGGTGGGTACCAGATTGGATGACGAAACGGTCAGGACGGCCATTGGTTTCCGACTGGGGTTGGCCGTTCAGAGTCGATACACATGCAGGTGCGGCGCGGAGGCGGATGAACTCGGCCATCATGGTCTTGTTTGTCGTTTGGGCGGAGGTCGCCAGCAGCGACATTCAACTATAAACGATTTTGTGTGCCGGCTTTTCTCCAAGGCCTCAATTTCGGTTTTAAAGGAACCGTCGGGCATTGCGGCGCACGACAGTAAGCGCCCTGACGGGTGTACTTTGATTCCTTGGAGAGCCAGCAGGTGCTTGGCGTGGGACGTTACCGTTCCGGGCACCTTTGCTGAGCGCTACGTGCAGCTTACTAGCAAAGAAAGCGGTTTGGCTGCAACCAGGGCATCTGACGAGAAGATCAAGAAGTACGACGGAGCTCTCCCCTCGAAGGAGTTTTTACCGATTTGTATCGAGGTCCTCGGCCCCATGGACCGTAACACCTCCGGGTTTTTCAATCGGATTTGTAAACATATCAGTATTAGGTCAGGCGATAGTAGGGAATATTTTTTTGCTATGAATAATATCTCGTGCATTCTGCAGCGGTTTTTGCGCATCTGTGTGTTGGAAAATGTGGAGTTGAATGCCGACGGGGTTGAGAGACGTTATAGCAAATAAAATCAAATTTAGTCAGACGCTTGGCTTTTGGTGTCATTCGTCAATGATTTGGTTTTAACATAAAAAAAAAACATACATACATACATACATGCACACGCGCATAAACAACCATGAATATGAATGGCCAAGAGTTGAAATTTAAATTTATGAGTGCTCGATACGTTACAGTGATTTGTGGCATGCTGTTTGTGACCAGGGGGTTGTTAGTAATGATCAAATGTACACTGGAGTGCCTCTGTGTATGTTTGTATTAATGTGGGTAATTTTTGTATCTTCGTGCGCATTGGTGTGTATGTTTGTTCATACTATGTTTGGGTGTGATTCGCTTCTGTGTGTTGCACCTGTATATACATACTATGTATGTATGTATGTGTGTGTGTGTGTGTGTATGTATGTTTGTATGTGTGTGTGTATGTATGTATGTATGTATGTATGTATGTATGCATGTATGTATTTATATATATATATATATATATATATATATATATATATATACATACAAAATTTACAAAAGTTTTAATTCTATTAAAATATATGTATGTATGTATGTTTGATTGTATGTACTCATGTATATGCAATTATATGTATGCTTGTGTGATTTTATTTATTTAGCATCAGAAGATCAACATGCAGTCGTCTTTTCAATGAAAGTATGAATGTGAGAGTGTGCTTTGTTTCAGGCTTTCTGGTGACATTGATATTATGCGTATATATTCAGACACATATAATATAAAACATACATAAAAATGCAGAGAGAGAGAGAGAGAGAGAGAGAGAGAGAGAGAGAGAGAAGCAAAAACAGAAAGAGAAACATAATAAAAAAACTGAATAGTTGGGACAGTGACGTTGAGGAGAGCCGAGCTAAGGGAGCGTCTCAAAAGCATGAAAGAACTTCATGCAGCAAGGAGCGGCCTGAGGAGCAGTCCATCATTTGATTGATCATGATCAATCTGGCGCATCGATATTTCAAAGTCTGCCAGCATTAATATGTCATGTCATTTAATGCCGCCATCAAAAATGTCCAAATGCTTCTACTCTTACTTCTACGGCAACTCTTCATAATTGTTAAAAAACTAAAATATACAAAACACAAAAATTCTACCAAGCCTTGCTTGCATATTTATTCGAAATACAATTACTTAATTTTTCAATTTTTATGATTATAAAGTTTTCAAGATGTCACGACAACAAAAAATTATTAAATTCATATAAAAATTGACACGAAATCGTGATAATCTTGAAAATGTCAACAAATCAAAATTCAAATTCATCGAAAGTTTTACAATCATGCTTGAAAAATAATTAACATCACACTAAGTAGCAAACAATATTTACTATTAAATCATACAAAAACAACGAAGCAGACCAAACAACGAACCGGCAGCGGCTCCATGCAGGACAAGCTCGATCATGCACAGAAACGTAATGTGGAATTGCAAACGCGATAACGACATCTGAATCTTCATGTCCTCTAACGCATGTGATCTAACTTTTTCCTCATCAGCAGAAGCTTCGTCAATTAATGTTAAAGCAAATTTGTTTTATCCAAGTAAATCTGAATTATGTCATTTTTAAAATCTTTTTATATTTTATATTATTTTATATATATTTTTTTTTATTAAATTCATTGAAACATAAGTAGTATTAACTCTAGTATAGTGTTAATAAAGGTAGCCATGCGTGTAGATAAAATTTGAAGTTTTAGTTTGCCACATTGGTCGAAGAAATATGAGGGGTGATCATCAGACAGAGGTGTTGAACTGCAATTGGCAGAGGGGGCTTGGATGGTTTTTTTAAAGTAACTTTTTATTGTAATTATGAAGCATATCAAAAATGTCGCATCTGTGAAAATGCTTTTAATGCTACTTTAGTAGCAGTGATAGTAGTAGTGGTATTAGTAGAAGTAATAGTAGTACCACTGGTAGAGGTAGTAGTAGTAGTAGTAATAGTATTATTAGTAGTATTAGTAGTAGTAATTAGTAATAGTAGTAGTAGTAGTAGTAGTAGTAGTAGTAGTAGTAGTAGTAGTAGTAGTAGTAGTAGTAGTAGTAGTAGTAGTAGCAGTAGTAGAAAAATGAAAAATCTTACAATGAATTTAAGAATATTCTAAGCAACAGCAATCATTTTTTAGTTTGGATAAAATTGATCTAAGTTTTGTAATTAACAGATCCACCGTATGTTAGTATTATGATTATATTGAATGAACTGTTCATCTAAATGGCTTCAACTCTCCTAAACATTCCTAAATATTTATTAATTTTAAAAACTACATCATCAGTTGAGTTTTTAATAAATGCCGACAATATTTCTCTTAAAAGTTTCACACGAGTTTAAGTAATTCGGAAAAAATTGATTAAACTTATTTCGTAACGAGATTTACAAAACAATTAATAACATGTTGAAATATCATATTTACCCAGTAAATAAAAAAACATTATGACTTGTAATTTTTATAGAAGAATACATATCAATATACAAATAATAATTATAATATAGCATTGTTAAGTAATTTAATATGGTTATGATTTCTAAATGATACTACCATCACGGGCCTTCTTTCATACAAAACCGCGACGATTATTTTCGAGCCGCTTATATACTCCGCAAACCCACATTCTCTTATTCTATTCACATCTCTACAAAACAATGTCCTCTTCTTTGTGAACATCACTATTTCTCCAAACAATTAACAAATTTACATATACATTAAATACACATACACACACACAAAATGAAATGTAAAAATATATATAGAATACATAAAAACTGTATACAATACATACTTCAGATAAATGTAAACATATGTGTATATAAGGCAGTATGGTTTCTAAAACGGATGGCATGCATGGATTGTTATGGAACAATGTGATGTATTGAAAGCGTTTTTTGACTGCACAAGTCTTTACTATTGTATATGTATATATTGATATTTATATATCACAGCATTGTCCGCGTTAGTCAACTTCCTGTTCAACTTTTCGAAAAATATTGACAGGTTTCTTGAGTTTAAAACCAAAATTTTTATTTATTTCAAGCATGGTAGAGCATTCAAACATAATAGAACAAAAAAGCATTTTTTTGATATTCCTATACCATCTTCTGTTTTCAAACTGATGCGTTGTTTATGTGGCCGAATGCCCAAATATATATTATACTGTGTTTCTACAATGTTTGTTCTTTGTTTGTTTAATCTGAATACTTAACGGTCATTTAATTAGTTATTACGAATTTTGTGCAATATAACACATTATCGATGATTATCATCATGATGATTCATTCGGTATCGAAATATGGCCTTATTTGCAGCATGAATTCGGAAAATAAGTTTATTTTGAATTTTAATAAACTAAACGTTCACCAAAAAACTTTAGTGAGAAAAATCGAAAAACGAACTACAAACATGTTAACGCCAAACATTCGGTAGAATTTATAGAATATTGTAAAAATTATGGTCTATTACCAACATATATATATATTTATATATATATATATATATATATATATATATATATATATATATATATATATATATATATATATCATCCGATCAACCGAGCGCAATTTATTTTTTATCCCGACCACAAAGTTGGTAACGGGTTCCTGCAACTCAGTTCTTGGCCCGGTTGTATGGAATGGTTTACCTCCTTACTTACGTGACCATAACCTATCATATTTACAATTTCTAAGTCAACTTAAAACTTATTTATTTACACAATAAATGTCCGTCTTATTTGTCTATGAGTTAGTAGCGCTTTTGAGATTCAACAATAAAAAAGCGCTTTATATAAATTTCCGTAATAATATATATATATTATATATATATATATATATATACATATATATATATATATATATATATATATAATCGAAACACTCGAGAGTGTCAAAACAAATGATGCTTCACACGTTTCTTGAAAACATTTCGGCTTATGTTGTTGAATTTTTTCAAATCTACAGGTAGTGAGTTCCATATTTTTGCAGACGGAACAGAAAATCTTCTCTTCCCAAAACGAGACAAATTAAATCCAGGAAGCATAAGATCACCATTATCGCAGGATCTCAGTCGACTCCGATTTGCAATTTCTGATACTGTAGTTGTTCCCTAAAATAAGTTGGAGCGTCACCAGCAAGACAATCTCTGATTAGAAGAGCTAATTTGAAAACGACTCTTTCTGGCATGCAGAACCAGCGTAAATCATCCCCGATGTATGATGGAGTTGAATCGAATTTTGAATAACCAGCAACAAGTCTCGCTGCAGTGCTCAGAACTGACTGCAAATCATCACGAAGGGATGAGTTGACACCAAACATAATCGCATTGCAGTAGTCAATTCCTCCACAGATAAAACTACAAACGAGTGATTTGTTGACTCGACTGTCAAAAAACGTCTGATGGATCTTATTCTGTGGAGTTGGTAAAAACATCGCTGGCAGAGTTGACTAATATGCTTTTCAAATGAAGGATGAAGATCCAGTATGACTCAGAGATTCGTTACTGGATTTTTATAGTCATTTAAACGGCTGAGGCCATGCGGCATTCCCATCCACAAATATTGGTTTTTCGTGATGTATATATATATATATATATATATATTATTTGGTAGATTTATATAGCGCCCTTTCATCAAATCTCAAAAGCGCTGAAACAAATCTCAAGGAAACAACAACCGAAGCGTTCATTGCGCAAACGGAAAAGTTTTTAGTTCCCTCCTGAAGGATAAAATTGAATGCCCCGAAGCAAGTAGTTCCAAAAGCAGGCTATTCCATACAAATGGCCCAACAACTGAAAAATTTCCTGAACCTGTAACAAGATTTGTTGGGCCACAAAAAGTAAATCACGATCATTAGAACGTAATTTGTAGGAATGCCCTGGAACAACACGTGCACTGCACCTATCAATTAGAAAGCCAGGTGCAATACCATTCAAGCATTTGAACATAAGCATTGCAATTTTAAAAGTAATACGTTTTTTAACAAGCAGCCAGTGTAAGTCTCTTAAAATAAAATAGAGCTGGCATGATCATATACAATATTGGGTAAATTCTACTATATACATTAAACAGGAAAGAGTAGGGCAAGACTGGCCGTTGGGGCAAGAATAGCCAAGTCACGTGCGCATTTGTCTACAGTTGGAATCAGTGTGCTTTGACTGAAAACATCGCGGAGTTATTTGGTCCGATTGGGCAGATACTCTTGCAGTGTCTTATTATCGTTTTTGCTCGACTACTATAATTCTTTTTCTTCTGGTTGCATCTGCTACTATAATTCTTTTTCTTCTGGTTGCATCTGCCTCGTTGCTTCTGAAAATAAAAAAAAATTATAATTTTTAACGATAGACATGAAAATCAGTTTCAACGGGACAATTGACACATTAAAGTTCAAATAATTCTAATCGTAAAAAACCTTAATTCATCATTATGTTGATTGAACCATTTCGATAATATTTTTTAAAAATAATCATTATAAAATCAATTATTTTTGTCTTCGTTTGCTTTGTAGCCAGAATAAAATTTGCGGCATTCCGATGAATGATGTGATAATTTAATAAATCAACCGTTGAAATTATTTAATGAATAAATATTTGAATTAATTAAAAATGTATTGGTAAAATAATTGATTAATTGATTGAATGATTAAGTAAACAATTTAATTAATAATAAAGAGCGAATTAACGGCAGAATTATGATACAATGGATTACGTAACTGCCAGAAATTATTTTAATGCAGGTAAAGCAGACTTATTGACAAAGCCACAGAGGATTAATTGAAGAGTGACACAACTGATGAAATCTAACTTTGTTACGTAATCCTAAAGTTAAATTACTCCTAATTCTAACTTCAAATAAAGAAAGTTTTATTATTTATTTTGGTTCATTTAAATATTCAATTTCTTTTTAAAAATATGCTCCAATAAACATTATTCGTTTGTTTGGCAAAGTAAAAATTAGTTAGCGTGATTATATTGTGGTTGACCAATAACGCACCTATTCTATTGTCCTTTATTGGCATCAATTAACACCTTACTTCCAACAATTGAACGATATATGATTAATTATGAATGGAAGCAATGAGATTAAAAAGCAAACTGATATGTCACATTCAACACTTTCGTTGATTAAATGATTCATATTTTTCATAATAATAACAAAAAACTAATCGAAATAATTAATTGAAAAAAAAATCTAACTTTTAGAACGAAAACGTCAAAGTTCACTTATTTTTTATGATTACCTAATTTGAATACTGGAAATTACTTTAAAACTGGTTCATATCAGATTGATCATAAGCTCTAATCTGCCACTAATGATACTTTTAAAGGACTCAATAAACCGGTCACTTTATCATTATACGATCTTATATTCAAATTGAAACTGGCTTCAATTTAACAATTAAGAACTATTAATTGCCAATATAAACCGAACAAAGCGAATCGAAATTGGTTACACCAAATCTTCCAACAAAGCTGTAAAATCCATTGTAAAAAGATATATAGTAATTTTGTACTTTCATGATAATTAAATCAAAGTGAAATTTACAATCAAACCAATGAGAGATAAACTAGTTATTAGAATGTTAATTTATTCACGATGTGCATTTTCGTAGGTCTAACATTGGACAGATTGTAAAGTGACTTTAAGTGCCAGTCTAAACGATGAATAACAAAGTGTACAACTTTACTATATTCATTGGTATAAATAGACAAACAAAGTATTTTTCTGAATAATTCGTCCTCCAATGATTTGTAGTAATATAGGATTTATTGAAATATTTTAAAATTGAAAATAATTAGTATTAATTGAAATTTTCTGAAATTGTCATTATTGAACTTATCAAAAGTTGAAATTAATTTGTGTTATATTTGTAGTGAAATTTTCTGTAATTGAGAATAATTCGTATTACAGACTAAATACGTTTGTGAATTTGCGTCTAGTGGACTGAAATCAAAATGATTGGGTTGAAGTATAGTGCTGTTGATTTCAAAAGAATTAAGGACTTGTGCTCAACAGCTGCTGAACAACAACAACTAGATTATTCCTTCCAAGGCACAATGAAGTTTGAAATGGAAAAATTATTTTCTCAATTGGAAGCATCAGGGCAGAAAAGTTTATTAAACTTCTCTCCTTGTTTTGGATCGTTACCAGGTCATCAAAACTTTTTACTTGAATCTGAAAAAGAAGATTTTAGTCCAAAGTGTGTCACAGAATTTCCTATGATAATTTATCAGGTGAAACCCATTCATAAAAGTGAAAACAAATCAAAATCTCGCAAACGTTTAAAACTGTCTTCTATAGAAAGTGGAAAATCAATGGAAGAAAATAAATTATTATGGTCAAACAAAAAACAAAAACAGGACACTACAAACAACTCAAGAAAACCAGAACAACTAATTCAAACGTATGCAGAAAACATTTCAAAAAATAGCATTTCAGCAGATACACCAGTGCTAAATATGACCCCGACGCCAACCAAAAGAGAAAAATCGCCAGAAGCTGACAAGAAGCCATCCGACCGAAGAACTAGAAGAGTTTATAGCGAACATGAAACAGAAATACTTGAAAATGCTTTTCAAAATTCCAATGGATATCCAGAAAAATCTGTAATTCTACACATCTGCAAGATTCTGAATGTAGATGAAGAAAGGATCAGAAATTGGTTTCAGAACAGACGAGCTAAGTGTAAAAAACCCGCAAAAGTTGCTCCAAAATCTCCGTTCAAATTGGTACCTATTGCGCCGGCAACTAATGGAATAATGAACAACGTGAATTCTATTCAGAATCCTTATCTCCTGCAGATGCCAAGCTTCATGAATTCACCAACAAATTTCAGTTATGCTCCAAGAATTTCATAATAGTTTCTTCATTCGTTCTTTTTGATTTGAAATTTATTTAAATTATTTATATTTTTTCATTTTTATTTCTGTATAATAAATAAAACGTGTAAAAGATGTCAATAACTATATTTGTAAAAAAAATACATGTACAAAATGTAATTAAGACTGTTAAAACAAAAATTATTGCAAAACATGCGATATTACCTTAAAAAATGAATAATTTAAATTCTAAAATAAAATTCTTGAAAAATTAAAATTTATAAGTTATTTATTGCCTCTTAAAAAGTTGTAATTAGCATGTCCACCGATCTCTGGTGTCCACAATACACATACACACCCACCTAACACATTTTAAAACAACAGACACGCAGGCAGAAGCATGCGACAAACAAATAGATTGAAGATATAATCAGTTGATAAACTGAAAAATAAACAGTCAGCTTCATGAAGCAAGCAAGCTGGATAAGTAAGTGCTGGTGTAAGTTAGGCTTAGGTATACTTCATTATTACACAAAGTTCATTCAAATAAGTAATGAATACTTACATTTACGATTACGATAATATTTTAGATAGCAAATTGCGTAATATGCCTAATTGAAGTTGCTTTATTTTTATATTTACACACACACACACACACACACACACACACACACACACACACACACACACATATATATATACACACATATATATATATATTTTTGGTAACAGACTGTTGTTAACGCAACATTTCAAAAATTCAACACTACTTTCAACATTGTTCAACTTTTTTATATTTCTTTTTATTTTATTAATTTCAAAAAATTAGACATTTTATTGTTTTTTTTTAAATTTTTATTAAATAAATTTGCAAATAAATTTGCAAATAGCTATTTCGAGTTATAGATAAACTACCGTTAATGATTATCTATAACTCGAAATAGCTATTTGCAAATTTACTTAATAAAAATTTAAAAAAACAATAAAATGTCTAATTTCTCTGAAATTAATAAAATAAAAAGAAATATAAAAAAGTTGAACAATGTTGAAAGTGATGTTAAATTTTTGAAATATATATATATATGTATGTGTGTGTGTGTGTGTGTGTGTGTGTGTGTGTCAAAAAACAATTTAAGAAACAAAGTGTGTGTGTGTGTGTGTGTCAAAGAACAATTTAAGAAACAAAAAATGGATGCCGAAAATAAAATTCAGTTAAGGGGCATTTATGATAAACTGAATATTAGGATAAAAATTAATGACTGTGAGTGACTAAAGTCAGACGTCCTCCAATCAGATTAAAAGTTACATCCAACAAAACGTTCATTTTTGGAACACATGAACAAGATCCCACTGGTGTCACGTAGTTGATGCTTCTCAGGTTCATGCTGGTTGGTTGTAGTTTGGTGTGATTTTTGAATATTAGAGTTGAAACTTTGAAAAAATAATGTTTTGGTTTTTAAAATCTAAATTGTCAAATACTAATATATAGTGAAAAAAAATTAAATAACAATTTAAAAACTAATCCAAAAACTTAAACTTCTTAAACAAGATATTTACGACAAAAAAATCTTCTGTGACTAGTTTTCGACATAGGCCTAATATAATTAATCTTGAGAATTTTAACAATAATTTTAATAAAAATGATTTTGTATGTAAAAAAATTTAAATTCTAGTTTTGCTAAGTTAGTTTCTCTTTCAGTTTTTTTTTATTTTAAATTTTATAAAACATCATTGAAACTAGCCAAACACTTCGAATGCACTAAGCATAGTTAGAAAGGTAAAAAAAAACTTCAGAGTAATGGACTAGAAAAAGCAAAGGTAAATATATCATAACGGTTTTAGCAGAAAAAAGTGCTTAGGTTTTGTTAAATTATCTGATAAACACATAGAAAAAAAATTGGTTTAGTAAACGTTAATGTGCAAATTTAAAACTATATTCCTTATACTATACTAGCTAAGCCAGTGAAAAAATCAGGATTTGGAGATTATATGAGAAAAGTTTAGGGAACGAGCAACTAAAAGAGATACAGAGCTAGAAGCTTAGATACACCATACATGTAGAATAAGAATAGAATCAGAAAGTAGAATAGAACAGACTCAGAAAAACGAGTTACATCAACGAATTCTAGATGAAACTAGTGATGGAAACTGGGTGTAAGTAGTTTCTAAAAGTTTGCTGCCATCTGCCGGAAAAAGTATAATATCGACAAATGGATTATTATTATTTGAACGTCTAACGACTGAGACTGTTTTTCTTAATCGTTCATTTATTTAATATTAATGTGTGATTTATTTTGTAGTTTTTTCATTTTACATTGAAAATTAACATTAAACTTTTAAGGAATATAAATTAACTAATAACAATACGAATTAAAAATCCTAAAATCGATCAAGAGATCGAAATTCCCACGTTTCTCGTCTATCACACATTACGCAAACGTAACAACTTGTTCATGTGGCGAATAACGAAAGTACAACTGACCTGATTGGATGAAAGCTTACACGAAGGCTACTTTTTAGCCAATAAGATGACATTTTACAAAAGACAGACCACGCCTTGCCATTATAAGATAATAATTAAATTAGTTGAATCGTTGCAATGTTCACGCACATCACTGATTTGAGTCTATAGTTCGAAACTTGCCTTTATCCGAGGTTGGCTTCGTGGCATTTTACGTTCAACTTTTTCATGATTTCTCGTGATTAAATTCATTTTTAAATAGCAAAATCGAGAAATTTTGTCAAAATTCCAGCGACAATTCGTTTAAAGTTTTCATTCGGGCGGACTTTCTGGAGACAGTACTAGTTAGTAGTTAGTGTGGCGTTTTGTGACGGGTTTTTAAAGAAGATTAGTGTTGGCTTGTTGGCTTGTGTTTACACTTTACGTTTACATGTCTTTAATAATTTAATTTTAATGTCCATTCGTTCTAAATAACGGCCAGTGTGTCATCTTCTTGATGAATTAATTAATTTTACTGTTTTTGAGAAACTTTTAAGAAAATTATTGACGTATTTATTTTTAGAATTAACAGTTAGATTAATTTTAGTTTAGTAATTTAAAACCTGCAAACCTACCCTACGTGGCAAATGAAAAAATGTTTCAAAAATTTTTTTCTTGAAAATTAATTAATTGTAATATTAAATTAGTTTTTGTTAATTTAATTAATTCGTAGTAAGTATTACCACAAACTGAAGAAAACTATTGGGCTTTAAAGTTTAAATTTTTAAGGGACTAACACTAAACTACACTAACTAAACTAAGATAAACAAAAATAAAAAGCTGTTTTATTGTTATTTATTTGTTACAGTTGTACATTTTCTAAAATGTAAAAATTAGATGAACCTGTAGCAAAAACGTTAAAAAGTCTTTATTTCTAATTGTTTTAAAAATTTCCTTCTTTTCTTCCACTCAGACCATACTGTTATTTGAAATTTGCTACAATGGCTGATACGCTTAACAACGAGACGACTAACCACCATATTGGCAACTCCATAGTTGATGAGGCTTATGAGCCAACTTATGCAGAAGCATTTCCTCCTCTCAGTTCTGAAGACGGCTTATCGTCAAACTATTGCCCGGCCCCACCTAACAAGTGGAACAACAACAACAATGTGTCGGCCCCGGTCAACAGGATGGCTGTCAAATCTTCTGTTGTCACACAAGTAGATAGATCCCATGTTTTCAAATTATTAAAATCTTCTAGTAGTAAATTGTTTAAATTTTTTAATGGGATTTTTTTACTTTTTTTGAAATATTTTTATAATTAATTATTTCAGAAATTTTTTCAGAATTAATCAGATTCTTTTGTTAAATTGAGGCATAGTTTTTTAATATTTGACTTGATTTATTTATAATTTTTTCACTTGAAACCTACAACCTGAATGTTTGACATAAAATACATTCAAAACTCATTAAAACATTTTGATTGTGATTTTGTAAATCACTTGATTTCTCCCACTGGGACACCGGTTTCAAACTGAAAAGTTTTATACAGCTCCTTTTTTATTTTTCTCATGTTTTCCAGCTGTGTTAACGTGTTCTCCATTGAAAAACATTTGTATGTAGGTTCCGTTAATTTTATGTGGATTCATAATTTGCATCATTACTCTGTATTATTAATATATTTTTATTATTCTTTGAGAAATGCTAAATGCCTCAAATAATATATATAATTAAATATGTATAATATATTTTATGCATCTACATTAAAAATGTGTAACTTGAAAGGGCTTAGTACCCTCTGTATTATACGTATTTTCATAGATGTTCAAAATAATAATTATTGTGGTATTCCATGGGAAATTTGAAAGTGGAGAATAATGGTGGAATGCTGTGGTCACGTGATTGAAGGTTCATAGTTGAACGAGGTGGTCATGTGATAAAAATTCATAGTTTAGTGTGGTGGTCATGTGATGTGATCAGCTTAAAGGTGAAAGGTGACAAGGCTTGAAGGATTAGCTGCTTGTTCATGTTATGAGTTTATTGAAACAATCCTAACATACACAATGGACTTAATTTTTGGTAAGTAAGCACATCCACTTGACAATTACACCAACTTGTTGTCACATTGTCTGCCCATCCCTCCATGCATGCATGCTAACACTGCAGACACACACACACATCCACATGCACATTTGTATACAAATAGAACAGACATACACTAATTAGATGTAATTTGGTTGGATGGTGAAACGTTAATTCACGTGCATGGATGGATGGAATATCGAAAGGATGAAGGCATTGATATTTGAGAACCAGGATGAGGGCAACTTGGATATTTTGGAAAGAGGTAAGGTAGGTTTTATCGGAGCTCTACGAAGATGGCACTGTTGCTGAGATGACACTTTGCACAGGGAAAAATCTGCCTGATGTTTATTTGATTGCCTGAATTTCTATAATTGGTGTGGAAGAAGATATGGAGATTCTGGATATTTATATATAAGTGCATTCATGTACATTTGTGCTGCATTCATTTATTTATTTGCTGGTTTAGTTTATCCCTTCACTCATTCTTTCGTTTTTTTTCATTAATTAACCCATTCATTTATTCATTTATTCACATATTCATTTATTAATTAATTGATTTATCTATTCACACATTTATTTGTTAATCATTCACCCTTTCATTCATTTATCCATTTTTCGTCGTTTATTCATTTATTTGTTTGTTTATTCATTGGTTCTTTCATTGATTCATTCAATCATTTATCCACATTTATTCATTCATGTATTTATGCATTCAATGCAATCTTAGTGAACTAGAGTGTTTTGTTGCAGTGGTAATTGATATGACTTGATATTTCTACTTGGAATGACATCCTTGCAGAGGTGAATATCCCACGTTGATGATGTAAATATTCATAATGGAGGGCCTGACCAGGTGCCTCCATGCTTCAGCTGGCATTTTTTTCTTCCTTATTTTGCATTCATACATTTGGTGAAAGCAACAACAACAACGCTTTTAATGTCCCCGCTAACAATAATAATAATAATAGCAAGTGTAAAAGCAATGCAAAAATTTTTTTTAAAGATTTTTATATTTCAGTAAATTACAAACATGTGCATCTTTGTCTCTTTGTCATTTTTGTCATCGGGGTCTACACTGTTGCACTATGGTCTCAATGGATTTTCGAACCTTTGAATCTCTCCAATGGGTGAATGATGGCAAACGAGAGTACCACGAACGTCTCTGTTTGTTGCAGCAACATCAAAACAGCATCATTGGCAGTATTTCCACTAGTCTCCACAACTCCGACAGTCTCACTACACTTTTACTTCACTGGCTCACTGATCATGGTTGCTTGCAGGTTGCTATGCACACGAGTATAACTGCATGCCGTCGCCGTTGTTGTAGCTTGACGGATGGCCTCCACCTACACCAAAAATAGATCCAACAGAAGAATCACTTCCCAGGGCAATCTGACGGACCCTAGCCCAACTCCGTTCTGGCCATAGTATTCTTCTAAACAGCTACAAAAACAGAATCGACAGTGGGCACCTCAACATCTGTCCTTTCTGCAACAATCATACAGATGATGTACCGCATCTGTTTAGCTGTCCACAAAACTACAACCAATAGATCTCTGGAGAAACCCAATTGCAGTGGCGGTTTGGCTCCGGCCTCGATTGGAGCCCTAGGGGTCCCACAGAATGAGGCAGCAACAACAACAACGACTGCATGCCTGTGTGTGCTGTGCATGTACTCTGAGGCTTGTTTGGACAAGTCTCAGTATCGTTTCCGATGGTCCAGGAGCTGAATGTTTTAAAATGGCGATGATGTTTATAAATTTTAGCTGACCTGTAGATGGATAATACATACATTATATGTTTGTATATATATATATATATATATATATATATATATATATATATATATATATATATATATATATATATATATATATATATATATATATATATATATATATATATATATATATATATATATATATGTA